ACAAGCGATCAGCGATATTATAAACATGATTAGTCATAAGTAATGTGAAGAACTTATTCACTCATCAATATACAATATACACTTTGCGGAAGACAAACCTTGTTTTAAAAAAATACTTTTCAGTAGAAGGACATGTGACAACACGACATGATTTTGGCTTACACAAACACCTACTAAAACACACACAGAATTTTTTTTAAATTTTTTTTTATTGCAATATTGTATTGTTAACTTTTTTTTGAGAAAATTTAATTATACGGAGGTAGAATATAACAGATTTGTTAGTTGATGTGTGTAAAATATGGATAATGCAAAAGTTAGTTTGTTATTATTATTATTGTTCCTTTGGGTTCCTACCGGAACATAGGGCTTCAACTGCACGTCTCCACTTGCCGCTTCTGTCTTCCTTCTGCTGTACTTTTCACCTCGATCCATGTTAGTTGGTCCATACTCTTTCAACTCCTCTTCACACGATCTCCTCCATGTCACCCTCACACCGACGTCCCACTCGCCGCCTACCTTTCGGTCTGGTTCCACTCGAGAAATGGCCTGACGCTCGCGCGATGTCACCAACCGGCCTCCTCAGCCGCGAGTGTCCAATCCATCCCAATATACTTCATCCTGCATATCTGTTGGTTGGCGATTGGTTCTTGTTTTGTTTGTTCCCATAATTTCTCATGGGTGATTCTTCCCGGCCCAGCCCGGCCATCTGGTCTTCAGTATAGATCCAGTGAAGACAGGTTTTGGTTGATAAAGGTCTGGTCTGCAACAGGCTGTTCGAAATATTCTTTGTGACCCACCCACCGCTAAGTTTCTTATCCGTATAGAAGAACTGACTGACTTGACGTTGTTTGTATTGAAAATCTGACCGAATTTTGTTGTTGATTCTGGCTGAGTGACGAAGATTTCCAGATTGGTTTCAGGTTGATGAATGTGTTTCTCTTGCCTTCTCGATGATTTGACATAGTTAGTGTGTAATTAGACATTAATATTTCTATTTCAAAAAATCACACACACAGTAAAATAGTATTATTTACTGGATGATGTTTCGAACGCAACTTTATTGTTCAGAATCATGTCAGTTGTGTAATTACACAACTATGTAAACACAATATTTATAGTTCTATTTTCCTATTTGTCGTGAATGCGGTAGAATTATTCAAATGTCTTGCATAGACATTGAGTTGTTTCTATTGCGCATATTCTTAGTTGATTCAGTAAACAATCTCTGCGTCCTGTTTTGCCTTAACGTTCCCCAGTGGAACATAGGGCTTCAAGCTAGTGGCTTGAAGTTTCTGTAGCAGTGTTTAATTTTACAGGATGGGGCTGCTAGCCGCATGCCCAACCTTTCCTCTCTACCAGCATTGTTTCTGGCTTAGCGAGGTAAAGGAGTGCGTCGCATGGGGCTCGAGCCCTGGATCATGTGCATGGTCGGCGAACGTTCTAATCGCTATGCTACTGACGCATGCCTTGTTATATTAGACGTTAAGAATATCGTCTTATCGCATCTCACTGTATGATTATGCATAACTGTTATAACTAAGGTTTTTTTCTAAATTTCTTTTCTTGCTAGGATCAAGTGATCTAGATTTCGCTTCGATAATCTTACTGATCTCGGTCTACTAATCTGACCTATTTTTATAACATCAAAGTCATTGCAGATTATTAAATGAAGTAAATTATTTCTAAGAGGTAATCACGGATTAGAGAACTATTGAAAACCAGCACGGGAGTACTGAACAGCTGTTTTGTCACCCTAGTTGGGGAATCATCGGAGGGACGCACCCACTGGAATTCGAACCCAGAACCTTCCGGTTACAAGTCAAGCTCGTATACTATTCATCAACTGAGACCCGATTCAATGGCCCATGAGTTCTAACTTTCACCAATTCGTGATTTAGCGCGACCATCAACCAATGTCATCGTTGAGGCATCCACCCGATGATTCCCAAACTAAGCTGACGAAAGAGCTGTCCAGTACTCCTGTTCTGGTTTTCAATAGTTCTCTAACTGATATCAATCCGTGATCAACTCATAATAACAAACCTAATTCTCACAAGCCAGCTATTGGGGAGGAAATTATTTCATTTAATGAGGTCTAATGGATCTTTCAACTGAATGTGTGGGTTTGCTAGGTCTTTTATAAGATGTATCATTTATTCAACAGGCGACCTGCTTAGAACTTGACCTACCAAAAAACTTCCATCTCTCTATTCCAGATATTTTCTCTTGTTCGGTTTGTTTTAATCGATTAAGATATGACCTCTATGGGGTATTATATATTCTTTTGTGTGTATTTAAACTTTTTACAAGTTCCTGATTGGCAAGTTCCCACTAAACTTGAGGAATGACTTGACTGTGGGTGACAATGTATCCCAATACATAAGATAACTGTTCTTCATTTATGTTCTTGGATCTCAAAATGTACTTTTGAGCATCTTACAACTGGCTTTCAGCTAGATCGAAATCGTGGATTTCTTGGAGGAAGGAGACAGAGCAGATATATCACATAATGGAATGGTTTGAGCTTCAGCTCAGAGACCATTGTGTCACAGGGAGAATATACTGTCAATTAATGTTTTACTTGAAAATATTGTACGAAAGAGAAATATCACGCAATAAACTCCCAGTGCAAATTCTGTACATTTTATAAATACCGGTCAGAATAGAGATGTTATTGCTATTATTATTATAACTATTCAAAGTGTCAGAATGATATTGCCTTTAATGCAGTATATGGGAGATTAGGTTAGAAACAAGAAAATCAGAATTTTGAAGGAAGGTTTTACGTAATTTTTAAAAATTGTGATGCTACGGAGTAATTCTGGCATAAATTTCATTCTGTACCAGTGAAACAGCTCTTACTTTGGGTGTATTAGATAAACTCTGGGCTTGAAAAGTAATAGAGGTTAATTTCAGTTCACTGTGACAACATATGACTAGATTTAGTAGGATTGTGGAAGTTATGAAAGTTATGAAAAACTGTTGAGTAATGGAGGAACATTTGTTCTTTCAGACCACGGGATATTTTGCAGAGGTTTTAATTATTCTCATTATAAGTTTCGTCATCAGGAACATCCAGTGCCAATCACCATCATCAGCAAGAGGGATTTTAAAGAGGTTACTTCATTCACTTATCTAGCCAGGGAGCATTGTCCCAACTACACGAAGTCGGAACGGACGAGGATGTCAAATCGAGAATCATCGGGAAGGCAAGAAACACATTCATCAACCTGAAACCAATCTGGAAATCTTCGTCACTCAGTCAGAATCAACAACAAAATTCGGTCGGATTTTCAATACAAACAACGTCAAGTCAGTCAGTTCTTCTATACGGATGAGAAACTTAGCGGGTGGGTGGGTCACAAAGAATATTTCGAACAGCCTGTTGCAGACCAGACCTTTATCAACCAAAACCTGTCTTCACTGGATCTATACTGAAGACCAGATGGCCGGGCTGGGCCGGGAAGAATCACCCATGAGAAATTATGGGAACAAACAAAACAAGAACCAATCGCCAACCAGCAGATATGCAGGATGAAGTATATTGGGATGGATTGGACACTCGCGGCTGAGGAGGCCGGTTGGTGACATCGCGCGAGCGTCAGGCCATTTCTCGAGTGGAACCAGGCCGAAAGGTAAGCGGCGAGTGGGACGTCGGTGTGAGGGTGACATGGAGGAGATCGTGTGAAGAGGAGTTGAAAGAGTATGGACTAACTAACATGGATCGAGGTGAAAAGTACAGCAGAAGGAAGACAGAAGCGGCAAGTGGAGACGTGCAGTTGAAGCCCTATGTTCCGGTAGGAACCCAAAGGAACAATAATAATAATAAGTTTCGTCATGAACCAACATCAATTAGAGAATCACTGAAAACCAAATAGCATCTGGCAATTGTTTCATCCTGGTTTGCGATTCTCCAGTGAAGCGCATTTGTGATCCCACCGAGGATTAGAACCAGGACTTTCAGGTTAAGAAACCCGTCTTTTGACTACTAACCAACTGGGTCAAATCCAACGTTCAGTGAATTCAGACTGTTTGTTGTACCACAAGCTGACGTCATTTAGAGAACTATTGGAAACCAGAGAGTATTGAAGAAGTATCTCCTTTTAGTTTGAGACTTTTCAGTAGTATGCATCCACCGGGGCTAATAAATAAAATATAAATCCTTAACTATCCATGAAAATAAATGTTTTTTGAACCACTTAATTGAAGCAAATTAATGTGTGACTTTTATTCAATCAGTGACTGACTTATCATCATGCCCCTTGAGTGCAGCATACACTGAAAGGAATGTGATATATACAGTTAACTGGACGGAAATTAACACAGCTACCTTGATTTACTTAGAGCCTTTAAATTATATTTTAGTTATGGTTTCTAATACACCTACTCGGCTATACAGTCAGTTTAAAATCATGCGATATTGAAAACGTATTCAGTATACACTGACTGACAGTTTACAGTTTGGTTGGTGACTTTCAAAATCATGCTGGCATGATTAAAAGGTCTACTGTTCTTTTTCTTTCATTCCTGATATTCCGAGTTGATAATATGACTTCAAGTTTCCGAAGTTTCAACAGTGATGGTTTACCATTTTAAGCGGCGGGGTGGCTAGCCTGATTTTCAGGTTTACTATCAGAATCGTTCAGGGATCGAATGCGGACATTTTCTGATGTCTTCAGAATTTATATTTAGAAGTTAGACGGTATTTTCGATCTTCAAATGACGCATAATATGAGTGGAACAATAAAGCTAATGGGTGGTAATCACTAAAAAAATTTGTTCATTGTCTGTTCTACGACTTCATCTGCACATTGTGTTATTAGTTTCCAATAATGGCTTGATTAGGCGGTTAAATAGTTCACACAATGAAACTGTGCATCAGCATAATCGACAAAAAAGAACAATAAAATTTAAAAAATGATTAAATCACTTGGAGAAAAGCGGTAGACAATCAGCCCATTTGCGAAATGATTAATTCAATAATAATAATAACTTACCTATATCTAATCCATTGGTTATAATCCAAGCACCAGTTGTTTTAGCTGCTCTAAGTATACCTCTTTGAACAACTTGTTGTAATTTTGCTTGTAATGGCGCATTAGCCAATCCACCGACAATAGATATGACTAAATTAGGCACACGTATTCTCCATTCATGTAGTAATAAATGCAATATCAATTCAGGACATGTTTCATAATGCAGTCGAACATACTGTATAGAACGATTTTCGGCAATATAAAGAAAAGATGAATAAAAATATGTAATAAACATCAGTATAATGTAAGAGAAGAATTTGGGTACTATGAAAGAATATGAATTCGTTATTGAATATGTTTATTTGATATAATAGAAAGCGTGTATTATACAGTGTTGATAACTGAATGACCTTCGGATAACGATTTATTATATCAAAGAAAGATACACTATTAGGTAGAGCCTATATAAACCAAGTTAGGGGATTCTGTGTATATAGAGCCTCAAGCTAGTGGCTTGAATTTTCTGTAGCAGTGTTTATTTTACAGGATGGGGTTGCTAGTCTCATGTCCAACCTTTCCTCTTTACCAGCATTATTTCTGGCTTAGCGAGGTAAAGGAGTGCGTGCGTCGGCCGGGGATCGAACTCCGGACCATGTGCATGGTCGGCGAGCGACTGAACTATATGTATCATTGAAGAAGTTGACTAAGATAGTGAAACTCAGGGGCCATCGTTTTGCTTCTCAGCCACAATCACCTACCTTTCACAATTGCTTTAGAACGAAGCTTTTTTATTGCATCCATTCTCTTCCAATCATGTCACCGTATAATTATAGTGAAACTAAATTCTGTTTTATAGTCAACAAAAGTACAAGTCATGCTAGTCAGTTTATACCTTGATAAGCACAAATTATACCATTATGACCTAAAATCTGTTTTATCGATCAGTTCTCGTATTTTGAAGTGAATAATTAAATCACAAAGTATAGAATGTGTTGAAGAATTCTTGTTTTCTAGTGTTTCATGAAGAAGAAAAAAGAAAAGGACATGGGAGTACTGATTAAGGAATTACATCAAAATCACTATTCTTTTCCACTCTGAGCACCCTTCTGTCTCAAACCATGCGAACCCACCATGTCTCTATGTCCACGTTTGCTTTCATTGAAAAAAGATATTACCTGACCAGCTTCTCACAAGCTTTCAGCAAAGAATAAGTTTACTTCATACATTTGGTTCCCTTTATAAATTTCGATAGAGAAAGACCAGATTTGTAGTATAAATGTAATAGCTAATAATAATAATTATTTCTCGCTCCTCTCAACCCCTACCCCCTTTTTCTTTCTTTTTTCATGGTTCGATAGTATATAAATTGATGGTAACTTAAACTATAAATTATAATACTTATATTCCAGATGCGTTCACCTTATAATGTTTTCTCTATTACCTTTCAAACAATGAAGTATGAAATGTTATTATTTCTAACCATTGTAATTTCAAGTAGTTTTCAGCTGATGAGAACCTGTGCAATAGAATGATGGCATCAATTTATACTGCAAATCTGATCTTTCTCTATCGAAATAAGTTTTTTTCTGATAATTTTCGCCGGTTTTTCAGTGGTACTATAGTCATTAAATTTATCTTCCGGAGTGGAGTTGTTAACCTGACGTCCCATCACCCCTCTTTTTTGGGACTTAAAACTTAAGAGCAAGTAAACTAGGCGAAAATCTATGTTCCACTGGAAACCTATTTTTTTTGTTTATTTTTTTTATTACAGCTTGATTCAACACCGTATTTTTGGTACAAGTATGGAATTTTCAGCATGTGATATCGGTAGCCCAAATATTGCAAACCGACCATTGATATCAGGTGTGCGTCGGCAGGGGATCGAATTCTGAACCATGTGAATGATAGGCGAGAGTCCTAACCGCTGTGCAACCGATCAAATGAAAAATCGCGAAACGTGAGCAGCATGCACACATGACATTTAACATTCCTTTATTCCTTTGTAGCATATAATTAGTGTGGGTGTAGCAAAATATAATTCCATAATTTAAAACAATTAGTTCCCTTTATGAATTTAGATAAAGCAATAAGAAGACTTAATTTGTCTGAATTGTGTAATGTATTTGCGCAACACATTTCGAACAATCTGATCTCACCCACGGACTTGTCATAGGAATATATATATAAAATTAATACAGAAGTAAGAGGTGAGAAAAATAGGCTTAGGTCAAGTTAAAAGGACATATTCAAGGTCAAAATAAAAATGAAGACCACTAAACCAAATAGCAGAGGTAATAGTACATCTGCTATGGTATCAAAACAAAATTTACCAAGGAAGGTTTAATATGATGACAAATTGTTTTTGAACGCATAAAGGTGGCTTGAACTTTCTAATTGCTAGGGCTTCTACAAACTTTAGGATACGCCCCAAACACGTTTTATTGATAGGTTTAAAAGATCTGTGAATCCTGATAAGTACGTTACAAATCTTTCTGATATTACTCTGTCTACTCATCAGAAAGAAGCTTTATCCCTTGGACTCAAATTTTGTGTTCCTCGCACGCAATTTACGGATTTAGCCATCCATGCTGAGTTTGAAAACTTATATGACCAACTCAAACCTCTTACCGCAACATCCGATGAAGATCGGGGTTGGTTTAAGGCCAAGATGGTGGATATAGCTCACCAGTTTTTAAACAACAACCCAAAGGAGAAAAGTATTTTAAATTCCCAACATTTCAAAGCCTTGAAAGAGCTACGGGAAAATTCTAATATAATTATTACTAAACCTGATAAAGGTTCTGGAGTCGTCATTATGAATAAAAGTGACTACAAATCTAAAATGATGTCTATTCTTGATGATAAGAGCAAATTTAGTCGTGATCCCTCCTCAGAAGATATTCAGTTGTTGCAGGGCACAGTGAAGGTTTAATGTGATGACGAATTGTTTTTGAACGCGAAAATGTGGCTGAAACTTTCTGATTGCTAGGGCTTCTACAAACTTTAGGATACGCCCCAAACACGTTTTATAGATAGGTTTAAAAGATCTGTTAACATCAATTTTATGACCTGTCTCTATAATATATGTCGCAATAGAAGAGCTAGGTCTCCTGTTCTCACCGTTAATAGGTTCTGATGATTCCATTTGTTTCTGGAGCCATTTTGGAATATGCTCTGAAGCCCTTACTTGCAGAGATCGATGAGTCCTCCCTATGTATGTGTGTCCACACGTACATTCAAATTGGTAAATACAGTGGGATGTGACGTCATTTTTCGCATGTTCGAAGGGCTTAGATAGATATAATGGCTTTACATTCTCTAATATTATGATATTAGCTGCATAAAAGTCTTTTTAACAGCAGCGTTCAGCCTTTGTCTAGTTATCAAGCTGCTTTGATGTCCCATATAGGGTAGCTTGATGTACACGTCTTTCTTAGGGGCGAGTTGGAGAGTGGGTCTGGTGTTCTGACTACTTTATATCTCCTGATGAACTTTTCTGGATAATTGTTATCAACCAGAGTTTGTGTCAATATTCTTTCTTCTTCATCAAGCGTGTCTTCAGTGCATATTCGTCGGATTCTACTGAAGAGGCACCTTACTAAGCCTCTTTTGTACCGAATAGGGCAGAAACTGTGGTAATTAAGATACTGTCCTGTCCAGGTAGGTTTTCTATAAATAGATCTTTTTATTGACCCATCAAGCCGTCGACTAAGCAATATGTCTAGGAAAGATAAACAATTATCTTCCTCTTCTACAAGATGTAAGTGATATGCTATTCTGAACTTCATTCATTCGATTTAAAATTGAGGTGGCAGAACAAGACTTAAAAAAAAAAAAAAAAAAAAAAAAATCATACCTTCTATAAAGTGGCACATTTTCGATTAAATCTTCCGATAAATTCTCAATGTACGACATATAAATATCTGCTAAAAGGGGCCCTAACGGACTGCCCATAGCAACACCATCAACTTGGCGGAAACAATCGCCTTCAAATGTAAACCTAACATTGTTAGTAAATAGAAGTAATAAATCTTTTAAGTAAGATATAGGGAACGGGATGAAAAAATTGTTTGTGGAAATATAATCACACAAAATGTCAACTGTTTTGATCAAAGGCACATTAGTGAATAACGAGTTTACATCAAAAGAGTACATATTCTTGTTCATAATATTAATATCATCAAGAACATCAACCAATTCAAATGTATCTTTTAACACATACTTACAGAATTGTGTTTTGACTGGATTCAATAATTCCACTAACCATTTAGCAAGTTTATGCGTTGGGGATTTGCACATTGACAATATAGGACGTAGAGGATTATTGGGTTTATGTATTTTTGGCAACCCATACATATGTGGGAATTTACAATCTGACGGTTTTAATGAGTCAAGTTTATCTTTACTTATAGCATTTAGGCCATGAAGCTTCAGTAGATTAGCTGTCACTGTGCCCTGCAACAACTGAATATCTTCTGAGGAGGGATCACGACTAAATTTGCTCTTATCATCAAGAATAGACATCATTTTAGATTTGTAGTCACTTTTATTCATAATGACGACTCCAGAACCTTTATCAGGTTTAGTAATAATTATATTAGAATTTTCCCGTAGCTCTTTCAAGGCTTTGAAATGTTGGGAATTTAAAATACTCTTCTCCTTTGGGTTGTTGTTTAAAAACTGGTGAGCTATATCCACCATCTTGGCCTTAAACCAACCCCGATCTTCATCGGATGTTGCGGTAAGAGGTTTGAGTTGGTCATATAAGTTTTCAAACTCAGCATGGATGGCTAAATCCGTAAATTGCGTGCGAGGAACACAAAATTTGAGTCCAAGGGATAAAGCTTCTTTCTGATGAGTAGATAGAGTAATATCAGAAAGATTTGTAACGTACTTATCAGGATTCACAGATCTTTTAAACCTATCTATAAAACGTGTTTGGGGCGTATCCTAAAGTTTGTAGAAGCCCTAGCAATTAGAAAGTTCAAGCCACCTTTATGCGTTCAAAAACAATTTGTCATCACATTAAACCTTCCTTGGTAAATTTTGTTTTGATACCATAGCAGATGTACTATTACCTCTGCTATTTGGTTTAGTGGTCTTCATTTTTATTTTGACCTTGAATATGTCCTTTTAACTTGACCTAAGTCTATTTTTCTCACCTCTTACCTCTTTATTAATTTTATATATATATTCCTATGACAAGTCCGTGTGTGATCAGATTGTTCGAAATGT